CCATTTTGCCACAATCTCTTTCATGCACCATGTGCACGTGCTTAGCGTAGTGCAGCAGTCGTGCTTCTGCTGTCAAACACGTGGACTGATGAAGATATTACTGGTTTCTAAATTAAAAAGACGCCACTGCCTTGCAGTTTAATTAGGGATGAGTCATAACAACAAATTGTTTCCTGGTTTCAAACATCTCTGAAGATTATCTCCCTGGGGACACACATACAGTCTGTTAAAACTACATCTGGCTACATCAAGGCAGAGGAATGTAGGCCCTGTGTCTAGCCAAGCTACTGTTAACAGCAGGTGAAAGGCTAATAGTTAGATCTGCAGTGTCATCTCGGGGCTCTGTCTGCCCCCTTACTTGTGGAATGTGCGTGATGACAAGAGAAGGCTGCGCCGTCCACATCCACCATAACATGTGCAGACAGACACATCCACGGGACAACAAATGAGCATGTACAGCACCGTAGTGAGGACAATAAGCCATGTCTTCTTCTGGGTTTTTTTGACAGGATCTATGTGTTAAAACACCACTATCCTCATCTCTCTCAAATAACCTCAAACATTTCCCCTTCAATACATTCATTATACTTTCTTTAAAAGTGCCATGTATTACACATTGTTCTGCCATAAGGGAGTTTCCATAAAAAAGATACATCTATTAGATGAAGCAAAAGTACATGGTGGTGTTTTACTGTATATTATGTTTCTGGTAAGAAGATTTCCCCCAAAGCTGAATGATAAATGGAGCATAACAATAAGAAATATGACTTTTAAATGATTACATAATGTATCATTTGTACATGTGGGGGTCTCGGGGTTTTATAACACAAACCTAAACTTGCTATTTCTTCCAGTCTAACCTGAATTTTAGCCCTATATTACCGTCCGTTTGTCAAACAAAGGCAGTCGTTTTTTATATAGAATTTGGGGGAAAACAACTCTTAACTCAAAGAGAGAAAAGATGTCACAAACCAGGGACAATGCGGTGATTGTGCGACTGTGTTTGTGAGTCTGGGAATTTTCAGTTGTGTTGATTCTAAGCACAGACTTAAGGCCTCAGGGGTCGGATCAGAGACTGGTCATATTAGTCCCTACGACTGGGACAAAAGGATTTCCAAGACCACCAGTTTAATCTGATAACAACAGTCTATAGCTAAATTGTTGTTATGAGGATGGACAGATGCTCCACAGCACTGTTTTTGACCTGCATGTGGGTCATTGCAGACTTTTAAAAAAAAATCAGGGAAATTTAGGTTGTGTCAGCTTGAAATTGTGTTTATTTGCTTTGTACCTGCAGTCTCTAGAAATGTTACTTTCTGAAAACCTTTTTTCAACCTTGTTAACATGCCAATGTGATGTTTTTATATGCTAGAAGGCACACCAGGGCACACCAGAGAGTGAGATAAAGAGTGCAGTGTTGCAATGACAGGTTTTAAAGCATGGATTTAGAAAGCCAGGTTTCATGCATAACAAACCTAAAGCAACGACTTTACTCTGCTGTGGACATGGGCAGCTGGAGACACTGTGGACATGTAGTCATTGCTGTTGTACTTCTGTGAAGCCCATTGAAGTCCACCTTGCAATTATAGTTTACATAATACAAAGTTTCCAAAGATGAGTCCACAGTCACAAAAATGTAGATCACTTAGACCCAAATCAACCCTCATGGACACAGATGTGCTAACACCCACATTAGGAACCAATCCCTCCAACTTACAGGCTGGGGACTAATAGAAGTGACAACCTTATCTTTAATAACAGAATATGATTTGAGTCCAACATGCATAATGTCTATATAGGAGAGACTGTTTCATTTAGTTTAGTTTTACAGCTAAACGACTGCTACTAACTAATAACTGTCACTTGATTTCTGACTTTTTCTGACTGTTGACCTGCTGAACAGCACCTTCTCTTTATTCTGGGCCTCCTGATTTACAGTTTAAGCAGCAGGTTTTCCTCTACTACTTAACAACTGGACCTATGTTTTCCTTCATTTTGCAAGAGAACTTATGAGTGAAGCTCACAGATCCAGTGGAAAGAGGACGAGGGAGCAGGCATGGACCAATATTGATATGCATGTTAAATTAGGGAAAGCCCTTTTTTTACATAAGGGTTTATGTTCATTTCAAAAAACAGCTTCTGAACATTTAAATGTTCTTTGGATTTTAATAAATGTCTGGAGAGCGACTTTTCCAAGATTTTACGTATTTTAAAGAAATAAAACATATATATTATGAAAGCATGGGGCTGAAGCTAAACATACATGTGGGAAACTCTGTACAGCTCACATGCTTGTTTTTCCTTTTCCTATAAGCAGTGGAACCAGCACAGCAGTGCATGTAGGTCTTTAAGACAGCAGAGAGCCATTTGAGCACATGTGACCTTGAATTTGATTCCATATCTTTGAAAGAATATTCACTACAAACACAAATAAACAGATACTTGCTAGAAGAAATAAGCATGCCATTAGTGGTGGTTGTTGAGTTAATAGTGTCTGGCTAAGTCAAAGTTTAAGGCTCTCAGAGACTCTCTCAGTAGGTCGTTCATTTGAGTTTGAGATAGCATATCTCTACCCGCCCTCTCTGGCCGTGAAGGTTTCATTCTGTGATGTTGTCCTTTCAATCAGCATGTAATTAGATCAGCAGCGATATGATAAGCAATGACATATACAGTGTCAGAGCCACAAGATCTTCTCAAAACACCCCGGGCATCACTGATCAAGTCCCTCAACAGCCTTGGCTTGGCACATTCCTCAGAACTGGCCTGACATAAGCTGAGCCAAAGGAAAGACACACACACACACACACACACAATTTATGCATGTCCATGCCCTCAAAACACACACAAATGTTGACGAAACCACAAAAATGCCTACAAAAAGAAAAAGACTGATAAATAATCAGATAAGGCCCTCTGTTTCTAATCCTGTCACTCGAGTAATTAAAGATGCTCACAGCTTGCTGTGGGAGGACTTATCCTGCAATCTACAGCAGCCTGAATGCAGCTTTTACCTGGATTTGGGTTTACCACTAGGTTTACCAAATGGTATTTTGGCAACAACACAGACCCAATTGCCAGCAGATTAACATAACAATGGAGAAAATCTTTATGAATAAATGACCTGTAGTAGAACTAAAGTCCATGAAAAAGACTGCATCACAATCTGTCACCATTTGCTGATGCTGATGAATAAATACATTATCAAAACAATAATAAGATCCAAATAAGCTAAGTATATTTCAAAGAAGCTAATTAGATTCAGCACCTCAAAAAAGTTAAACTCTCAAGTCCTGGACGCAGCAAAGAAATGGAAAGGGAACGCTGTGACTCAGACAGCAGCACACACTCATTGGCCTTGCCGTGTTTTAATTGCTAAGTGGATGATCCAGGATTATCCCTGATAAAATATTACTGTCTTAAAAGAAGACAAATATCTTGTGATCGCTGTGGGATTTAATCTCTCGCTATCTTGCGAAGAAATCAGTGTGCTTTGGCCCAAACACAGCCACCATTATCACCTAATGATAAGAGCAGAGGAACTCAGTGGGGGCTATTTTTATGGAGATCACATAAACACCAATGCTACTGACTACAACCCCTCAGGCTAAAAACAAAGAAGCAAAATTTCCCTTACCCATGCATGCTTTCAACGGCCACACAAAAGAACCAAGTACTTTTCCTAGAAAAGTAAAATCAACCGGTGCGCGTACATGTTTCGCTTAACTGGTCATCCTTTTTAAGATGCAATTTTGTGTGAACTCTAAATTATAAACTTAGTGAAAACATTACTGCCTTCTTGGGAAATTTTTCTTACAAGATTTTATCACTTGGCTCCTCCGCAGTACTGAAGTATAAGACAGCAATTCTTGCAGCCAAAGCTGCCACAGATATATTGATAAAGCGCTGCGAACTGGAAAGAATGAAAAAGCCTAATGCAGTCAGCGGGGAAGCATGAATAAGTCACACATGCACAAACATTCACACAAAGTGAAGTTCGGCAGGAGAATGTGACAGTCACTTTGCAGCATCTAATCCTCTGAAACCACTAAAGCAACAAGTTATAAACCCATTATCTGTTAGACTTAATCCACAAACTAAACATTTTTGATCCAGCCATTAACACCACTGGTCAAAAATGTGTTTATGTAACAGCAGGAGCTGACATGTTATTGCTCAGGGGTGGTCAAATTCACATGAGTATTAAACCATCTAGGGACTGTCAAAAGCCATTTTGATGCTACTAAAAAGCATTTAAAAAGAACAATCTGGAAAAACAACAGCATGATTTTAACTGCTCTTGACTTTATTATTTCTTCTGTCTCTTGTTTCGTTTTCATTTCAATGATGTATAATGAGGGTAGGTAGGGGGGAAGGAGATTTTACATGTCCAAGCCTTTCAGTCATGAAAACGTTTGGAGCCTCAGGGGTAGAGGTCCGCAGGAGGTGCTTTATTGTGGACAAATGATTGACATCCCCTTAGTGACATCACTACGACAAAAAGAGCGCTGGGGGAAGAGAAGGCAACAATCAATTCAAACACTCCAGCGCGGCGCACAGAAGAGAGGCGACGCGCTCTCCAACTCGCAGCAACAAGGTCCAAAAGAGCGACACTTAAAGGTCCGCTTATCCTGTTTCTCTCTCTCTCTCTCTCTCTCTCGCAGAAAAGTTCAGCTTTAGCAGAAGGCAGCTGTTCGCTGGTAAAGATGTTCAGAGAAGCTTCTTTATACTTAGATCGGTTATGCCTACGCGAAGCCGTTTCCTCGTAGAATTCACTTTTTTTTTTTCCTTTCGGGACTGACCAAGACCTAACCCGATTCGCAGCTGGTGATAATATGTGTGAGAGGCGATCGGCGAAGGCTATGGGCTGTCTTTGGTCCCCCAAGCAGAAGCAACGTGGATTAAACACGAATTAATGTGGAATTTATCGGAGCCCAAAGGTGGAACGACGACCGGACACAGCGCTTTCTCGTCAGGTAAAATAAAAACTCACGTTTTTTTCTTTTTAATAAACGCTTAAAGTACTTAATTGGCGTAAAACAAAAAAAATGAAATGTTTGTACAATAACTTGCTACACGAGGAAAAGCTTACTTTCTAAGTGACCCCCCTCCCTGCTAGTTCTTGGTTTATATGTGATTATAGGGTGTGTGCGTAAAAGTTAAAGCGTTCTCCTACACACGGAGAAAACTATGAAAAGAAGAAGAGGAAAAAAAGGTCGTTTCTTTGGAAGTCGTGCTGCTCAGATGATGCTTAGGTTTTTCATGTTTTTTGATGTCCTGTCCCGGGCTACATCTGGTACGCACGTCAGATCTAACACCTGCGAGCCTCTTGAAGTAACTCTATCCCTTATGATTACACACGACCGTCAAAGCCCCTGCAAACAGACGCTTGTAACACCGTCTGGTTGCATCTGTTGCTGCTGTGCATACTAACCCGTTTCCCTTCACTGTATTCTTTGATGCTTCTTGTGATCTGTCGGGCTACACAGACTTGCATTTCTTTTTTCATATCACCTCCCCTAACGTGATTTCTTATCTCCTCTAATTGGAGACTTTTTGTCTGATCTCTCTCCGCAAACCCTTTGATTTGTTTTTTCTGAGTCAGTCCCTCGTTTTTTTTGTTCTTCTCTTTCAGAGCTTCTTCACCTTGATATTTTCATGTATCACTTCATGTTAAGACCAAACTTCTCTTTCAGCTTTGACGCGCTATATTGCCGGAGGGGGTCTTTCTCTCGCTCTCTCTCTCTCTTTTTACCCACTTCAAAGTGAAGCGTTGTCTTCCCTTTTAACCTGATTTCCTTCAATCGTTCCGACTGTGTAGGGGGATCACACACAGTTTAGGGAATGCTGCAGTGAGGTCCCTGCCGCGTCTACCTCATGTCAATACCTCAGCGCCAGTGTATTGACAGAAATCAACTTTCTCCACAGGGACTGACTGATCATGGTCGCCGTGGTCCGCTCTCTCATGGTACTGCTGCTCGCTCAGGTGTTGCTGGAAGGTGCTACGGGACTAATCCCCGAGGTCGGCCGGAGGAAATACAGCGAATCCGGGAAGCAGACCCCAGAGCAGTCAGAGAGCTTCCTCAACGACTTTGAGCTTCGGCTTCTCAATGTGTTTGGACTGGGGCGCAGGCCGACCCCAAGTAAGCAAGCCGTGGTGCCGCAGTATATGGTGGACCTTTACCGTATGCATTCAGCAAACGGAGACCATAGCACCAAACGACCCAAGAGCATGGGGAAACACGCAGAGAGAGCCGCCAGCAAGGCCAACACGATTAGAAGCTTTCACCATGAAGGTATGTATTAGTGACATACCTTTACCTGTCAGCCGGGAAGCTTCTCGGCTCTCTCAGACAACCCAAACCTATATTTAAACATGACTCAGTGCGTCAAGACTGAACTTCAGAGTCTTCGCTGTTTTATAGAGGTTTAGTCATTTACAGGTGACACGCGTCTAAGTTACAACTTACTCTTAAATACGCTCGGGATTGCCTAAAACTCAGTAACGCGACTTACAAACAAGCATCTCGTACGCAATTAATTACCTCTCACATATGTTGTGATGCAACATTTAACCGAACATCCCCCTGAGGCTGCTGTCAGAGGTTTTAAAACATCAAGGGAGGTGGTATCCCTGGAGTAATTTGTTTCTTAATAATTGATGGTGTTTGCGTGGGCTCCGAAAACAGTTTTTCCAGACACGCACCACAGGAGCAGGATAAAGGGCGGTGTGCCTTTGCGCAGGTGATAGTCATCACCCTGTTACTTCAATAACACACGACATGACATTATACTAACACGCATTATGACAAAGTCATCGTGTCAGACTGAATTCTGAGTCATTTTTAACAAGACTGAAATTAGTTCTTGGTTAAAAAAAAAAGGGGGAAAGGGGGGGGGGGGGGGTACCCGCCTTTCCAAATCCCCGTTGTGCCCGTGCAGTGCGCCATTACGCATGTTCCAATAACACTATAATTGCTCACTTAGTTTGTACGGTGGATACGGTACTGCTTGTTGAATTTAGTGTTTCAGTTCAAGTTCGCTGCACTTCAAAGATAACATATGCTGCTCATATATATATAAGACTGGCACTAAATCCTGGATGAGGTGCACTAAGTTCAACAACTACACAGATGTTCACACAGAGTTACAAATAAAGTGGACTTTTATAACTTAAAAAACAGCAGCTGAGAAAATAAAAATGATGGTTTACTTATATTCTATTGATCCGAGGCTATATTGTCTTTTGCACCTGGCTGTGATATTAAAATGACTCACGCATGATAAAAATGAAACACTACAGTATTTACTGTCAAACATATAGTGATGCTTTATCACCATTCACCATCTTAAGGTCTATGTTCCATTTGTCAAAGCATACAAGTTACTGTGTCCATAGGGGCTCTACACAGAGTCCTCATACAGAGTTCTAAGTGTTTAACTGGGGAAGTTTCCATCAGGGGTGAGTCAGAGGGGTGGTTGAGTGGTTGCTTGGGTGCTCTCCAGAGGCCTAGTGCAATGACACCAAGTGGCTACACCGACACACTACAAACAACCGTGGCCTGGGCAGCTGGGCTGAGTGACTGCCCCCAGCCAGCTACTGGAAACCTCTGCAACCGGCCAACACACCTTGACACCACTGGCCATTACGAATGCGCTCAGGCTGTGTTTACATAGGTCCCCCCAGCCCTTTCATCCCGTGCTAACAGAGCTGCTGGGTTGTTCATCTTCCCACGTCAAGAGACACGCAATTGATGGCTGCTGCATATAATAAGCATGTATCTACAGATGTAAACGCAGCACATCAAAGCAAACTGCTCTAATCATTCATCACATCTGCTGCCTGATATTCATTTCACTAGGATAATTAGTTTCACTGCTATCAGTTTTCAAAAATAACCATTTCCCATGCCAAATAGAACATTTCCACTACTACACAGGAAGTAGCTGCCAGAGACACGTCTCTGATGAATGACCCAGCATTAGCCTTTATCTTATGTTTTGGCATGCAGCACAAAAAGAAATTAGGAATGTTGATACACTCATATCTGTGGTTCACACGTTTGTGACAGGCCCTGACTTGTTCACATAGCCAAACCTCAAAGAACAGAAAACGAGAGAGAGTGAGAATATTGTTGCAGAAAGAAATTGAGGAAGACGTGAAAGAGGAGGAGAGAGAAAGAAAAGAGGATTTGGGGCTAAGAGAACAGAGGGAAAGGGGGATTTGGGAGCTGAGGAACGAAAGAAAGAGAGGGATTGGGGACAGAGGAGGGGGAACAAGAGACAGGGGGCTTTCCCACATCAAATAAGGAGTGATGGGCCTAATTGAGGTCTTTGTGCCTCTGGAGGGAGATTTAGGATGAGATGGTGGAATTTCCTAAATACCTCCTTTGAAAAAGCAAAGAGTTCAAAGTTTGTGTTTACGGCGCTGCACCAAACAGATTAAAAAGTGTGTCTATACATCATCTGTGATCTTCATAAAGTAAGAGTTCAAAGTGGGAGGGCTGCCTCAAAGAAAATTGTAGCTTTTACTAAGACTTCTGTCATTTACTGTACACTATAGAGGGGTATACAAAGATCTTAACTGTATACAGTTTATATACACTCTACTTTCCATTTGTCTTTTATTATCATCACATTAATTGTAACTTAAGTCCTTGTAATTTCAGAATTAGTTATTAAATTTAATACCTTGACGCATAAAAGAAATACTCCAGTGCTGGCAACATCTACACTATAAATAAATGTTGACGCAACAGTTGGCCTTTCTAGTTTTCTTCTGGCCATTCTCATTTTTGATGAAGTCAGTATATGGTGCAACTTTTTTTCATGTGTACTTATGAAAATATTTCGCAGCAACCAATTCTCACAGTGCAAATGAGCCATTTGAAGTCTGGCTGACTAGCGTGTTTGATCTTATCGATAGATGGAAGCGCACTGCTTTCATCTTCTGACATTTAACCAGGTGAATTTATGAGCATGACACTAATCGCTGTATTACATCCCCATGAGCATTTCCCTGCTATTACACTGAGTCATACATGCAACCGCATGCAATCACTCACATAACCACGTGGTAGCTTGGCTGGATCCATATACTAGATCCACTCGATGTTATTTCTTAGGCATGTATGAAATTAATACGTTCTTGGCTTGATCCTTACCCTATGGTTGTCTCTCTTCTGTCCTTTACAGAGTCTATGGAGGCCCTGGCCAGCCTAAAAGGCAAAACGACACAGCAGTTCTACTTTAATCTCACTTCTATTCCAAATGAGGAACTCATCACCTCTGCAGAGCTACGCATTTACAGGGATCAGGTCATGGGATCTGCAAGCCCCACCGAAAGCAGCATTAGTGACAGTACTCCTGCTAGTGGCCTCCATCGTATCAACATTTATGAGATATTTGGAGTTCCTGCCACTCAGGGCAAGGAACCTCTACTACGTCTGCTGGACACTCGAATGGTGCAGGACTCTTTGAGTCGCTGGGAAAGCTTTGACGTCAGTCCCGCTATATCTCATTGGACCTCTGGGAATGGCCACAATCACGGCTTCTTGGTGGAGGTGATTCACCCAGAGGAGGGGGAGATGGACAGCAAGGATGCCCACAGACACAGGAAACATGTCAGGGTGAGCCGGTCGCTACACCAGGACCAAGACTTGTGGCCTCAGGCTCGGCCGCTGCTTGTGACATATGGCCACGACAGCCGCGGGGGCTCAGTGCTCCACAAACGGGAAAAAAGGCAAGCAGCACCGCGCAAACAACGTAGGAAGCACCAGCACAAGGCAAGCTGCAAGAGGCATGCCTTGTACGTGGACTTCAGTGATGTGGGCTGGAATGAGTGGATAGTGGCACCCCCTGGCTACCATGCCTTTTATTGCCATGGGGAATGTCCTTTCCCCCTAGCAGACCACCTCAATTCTACTAACCACGCCATTGTGCAGACACTTGTCAACTCAGTCAACTCGAACATCCCCAGAGCCTGTTGTGTGCCCACTGACCTCAGCCCCATTTCTTTGCTCTACCTGGACGAATTTGAGAAAGTAATCCTGAAAAACTACCAAGACATGGTGGTGGAGGGATGCGGCTGCCGGTGAGAAACAGGTGGCACGGATAGAAAAGAGCGAGCGGGCACAAGAGGCAGAAAGAGATCAGAGGTTATCATGGACACCCAGTTTCCCAATGAAGACATTTATTTATATGAAAGAAACAGAAAACAGAGCTATTGCGGAAGAAGAAGAAACTATATATGAATATATTTATGTCTACATAAGGTTGGGAAAAATAAATATTTTAATCAAAGGAATATTCCTTTACTGGTTTTGAAAATGTATTTCCGATGTACATTTTGAAATGGGTGCAATACCACATGAAGTATAATGCTCAGATTTCTATTTTGTATTTATTTCTATTATAACCACTTTATTTGTAAATAAATAATGTGTATTTATCGTGAAAAAAACATCCCGTGGTCACTCCAGTGTTGCACGATCGGCTTCTGACAGAAATTACCTGCGAAAACGTAACACGTGACAAGAAGCTTATATTTCACTGATTGCAAACCAAGCACTGAACTATTTTGCTAAAAGTAATCGGAGACCAACAACAATGGAGGTTTTGAAGGCAAAGCGATAGGATCACTGTTGTAATGAAATGTAGCATGTTGTAGGGTCACAGACAATTTACATGCCCACGGGAGGCTTATAAAAACAGAGCGTGTTTTTAATGCCTTACATGTCACTGCATGGATCCCTGGGAAGATTCTCTTAACGTCTATGTTTATTCTGCTCCCGACCGATATTATCAGATGGAGGGGGAAAAAAGTGAAACTGCAGCCCTTCTGTGGAAGGTCTGACAGGGCACGAGGTTTATTTACAGTGAGATTTGAGACTATGGCAGACAGACACACTAACAGACCTTCACCAAGAAAAAAAAAAAGGAAAGATTCTGTTGGCACTTTAATTAACGAAGACAAACAAACACACACCTGCACCTGTTCACATACTGCACATGCTCAGACAGATTCTTCCCACTTCTGAGTTTGGCTGCCTTCCTTTGTCATCTCTGAGTCAGAAGGCTCTAATGTGTTTCAGCACTGAATCAAAGAAAATTAATGTTTCACAAAACAGCAGCAGCAAAGGACACAAACACTGACCCGAAAAAGAGCGCAAGAGACATGGTCTCCTCACAAAGACAATGAGCGCGGCTGGCTCTTTATACTGCAACGTTAGTATAAAAGAAACAATGCTCCATCTAGATTAAAGCAAACGGACTAAAACTGCTCCATAAAGAATAGATGAGAATTTATAGTCTAGCCACAATAACAGATCAGATAATGAAAAAGTGAAAGAGTTTTCTGCTGTGTTTGCATTAGAAAGGGTTTGGAGGGATCACAAGGCAGCTCAAAATGCTCTAAATAGACTGTTTTTATGTGAGCGCACATTGGGACCGTGGAATGTTGGTTTTCAATCTCAGACACATGCTTACGCTCGCATGGAAAACCAACGCGGTTGTTTTTTCAATCATCTATTCAAGGGTTTCCTGGTGGGCTTTTTTCTCTTCAAAAACAAATGTGCGTCAAACAAAGATACGCTTGTTACTTATATAGGAGATGTAAATCAAAACATTTAAGAAGCAGGCGTGAGATTTTATTTAAGGGTTGTAAAAAACACAGAAATGTCACTTTCTTTTTCCCTTTTTCTTTTCCACGAGCCGCAGATCGTGTCCGTTCACCTATTCTTATCCTCTAAGGGTGTCCATCTGCTCGAGATGATGCAACCGTTTAATTGGATTATACCCTCCCAAACATGCACTCGTAACCGCACGCACACGCAAACACACCCGACAGCATTTCAGATTTAATCTTCTGCACGTGTTATTGGATTCTACCTTGCATCTCCACCCTTTCTGCTCCCATCTGATATCCATTTCTCCTCCGTGGATTCCACCACACCACAACCCTCCACATGAACCGCACGTACCTCTGCCAGCAGCAGCAGCACGACACTAATGGACCTTTAGAAGGAAGTCACTTAGCTAGCCCACTTATACACGATTGATAAATCTAAACACTGAAAACCTCCGAAAAGTTTCTTTCTTGAGCTCCAGGAGTAACGTCTAGGTAGGATGTGAAAAATATTTGCTTTTTGAAAAGAAAAAAGTGTGAGATTTAGTGCCCTTATAGTTAGAGTTCATAAACCTTTCATTGGGTTGGGTGGAAATACTGCTCCCAGTGTGGGTGACACATGGGCAGCATGCCTGTAACTCCCCTACTGCACCCCATCCCAGCTGAACTAGAAGTATGAGCTGGCCACCTTCTGAGGCGGACGAGGGGGGGGAGGATCTCATTTTAGAGTCATGTTAGTATCAGACAGCTCCTAAGGGACCACTTCTAAATGAGAGGTCAGGGGTCAAAGCAATAAAGGTCTATTATCTCCACCCTTACTGACTAACTTCCAGGCTCATCACGTCATCACAGGCCAGTGGCTTCAAGTGTGGTCAGCCACTGGTTGCAACAAAGTACGAGTTTGTGTTTCAGAATCCATTTTTGTATTTTATTGATGCACATTCAAGATCCATCCATTTGTTTGTGTGATCGTGCTGATAATGAGCTAAAATTTGGGTCTGTGTGTGACTGCGAATTTCATGATTAAGTTATAAAAAGCACAACTGTGAAATATGTGATTTTGGCAGAATTCTCTTCACCTGCTACACAGACCTCTGCGAAGTCACTCTCAGAGAACAGATTTTCCCTTTTCCTTCTCCATGAACATCTGGCAAATCAGTTTAAGGTGTCCTTTGCAGACTTTGTTTATGCACAAACACACAACAGAGCAGCCGCACAACTGATGAGCATAAAACTGGGAGCTGGAACCTACTTGCATGGCAGGGATCATTCATTTTGTTTGGTGCTCAGCAAACCAAACCAAAACTATCTGCAACTCCAAACAACCAAAATTGTAAGGGCTATAAAATCAGTTTTCCAGATTTCTGTCTGGCCCAGAATTGGAAAGTATGCGGTGTGCCGTGTATCTTTGATGAAACAGAGGGCTCATGAGATCTCGACTGGCTCCGCGCCAAGGTGGGACGCAAAAATTTAGAGAAGTGAAGAGAGACAGCGGCCACTTCAGAGTCTTTTCTAAGTTTGGATCTTTTCTTCTTCATGTGCTGCGCACACTAATTTTAGAGGTGGTGCACATGGTGTTTTTTCTGTGTTCCGAGAACAGCCAGTGAAATGACGTCCAGCATAGCGAAGACTTTGGCATCTGTGCAGCAGCTCTGAACACATCAAACGGACGGCCGTCCACAGATTCAGGAGCAGAGCAAATATGGAAATGACTTTTCCAGAGCGACTGCACGGATGATGCTGCTTTTACATACATGCATTTTCTATATCCGCATGTAAATTAGAGATTATCTGCCAACATGAGCCACTACTACTTTTAAATACGGGTCCTTCACGTTTTAAAAGTCATGCAATATGAATGAACCTCACTCAAAACTACTTGCTTGCTTGCTCCTAACCATGTGCTGCTACTACCATTACTGTAAGAGCTAATCATCCATGCAATTACAATGGAGCTGGCCTTGAGTGACATGCTGAAATCATTATCTTTGGCAAGGACTCAGTGGAGTAGACCATTATATCGCCCAATTCTCACAGCAGAATAATTTTAAGCTAAGCTAAAGTAGAGTTAGAAGTATGCACTGTATACTATTATGATACTCTGGAGAATATACTTACTGAAATAACAAAACCTTTTATCGTGCGATGATGGGGTTCAGCATCAGAAAAAAATGACCTCATAACATCAGAATTGCTTTTCTTTCAGCGAATATCGTGCTCTCTATCTCTGCTTTTAACTGATATTTAAAACAGTGAGAAGCGGTCGCAGTTATTGATGACATTGTTCATTTCCCTGACATTTAGGGCTGTTCTTTTATAAAACTGTAATCAAACAGGAATGGAGTTCAAGATGTGTACCTTGCACTTTGTGGGCACATCTCCACAGAGGATACAGGAAGAAGTTCCATATGGGAGACATATGAGCTAACAGGCTCAAGGATGGATTTGCCTCCAGACACTGATCTAAGGTCAGAGCTGTGCTTATTCCTCTGATGGTTACAGTTAGGTTTGGGCTAAAGGGTAAACCCGGCTGATCCTGGAACCTTGCCGAAGGGCGTCGCCTACACGCCGAGCTTGAAAGCGGCTGTGCGGCTACCGAGAGCAGCCTCCATCTTTGTAACAGGAAGTGAAGAGATCAAGCAAAGGGGAGATACATGACATCTCCCAGCATGTCCGTAAAATAAATGTCAATCTCAGATACAGTAAATCTCATCCATAACCACGCACACGACTTCAAACCAGTGAGGTTCACGTTCAGAGCTGGCAATGAATTTAAAACTCCGAACTTAACTGTCTTGTCCGAAAGCAGAAAAGTAGATGAAAGCCCATAACACACAGCGAATAATGACAAACATCTACAGCATTAAACAGAACATAACAGAAAGCACACTAAAACGAAAAAAACCCAGCTGACAGTTTGGCCATCGTCTGCCTTTAAACACCAACCGTTTCTCTTTTGGAGCTATATAAGGTTGAAATCTTTAGTACATGTCTTCACATTTCAGGACCACAAAATCCTAACAACACAAACCTTGGGGTTTTAGGGTTTCGATGCAGCACCTTGAGGACTTCTGGGCCTGGAACCCAGTCCACTGAGCAACAAGTTGACCCGCTGCAATAAGAGGAGACCTGTTAAGGAGCTCAGGGCCTCACTTGGTGGTCTTTGAAAACACGCTGGTGCTGAACTTTTTGTACTCAGAGCAGATTACCAGGAGGCTGCTTCCAGATGCAGTGCACCGGGGGAAACAGACTCTCCTTTGCTGGGTGGTATGGGACAAACCAATTCCCCCACACTTTTCTCATTAGAGTAATAAGCTTTGTATAAACCACTGTGCTGCTATTGTCAGGGACACACACACACACCATTTCCTCCATCCACCCATCTGTCTGTCCATACGCTACATCTGACACTCATATCTTTGCTGGAATGATGCACGTTAGAAAATGCTAAGGGAGGCTCTTATGATTGTGAGCACTGTGCATGCGTGGTATATTAATTATATCAACCATAAAAACAGCATTATTATTCAAAATGACACTCTGCTGGTCAGATGAACATCCTTAACACAGACCTGACAAATGCACTACCAGCACAGCGGTAGATAGGGAAAAAAAATTATACCATTTATTTTGAAAGTATCTTGATTAATGCGATTGTAGAGGGAGGGGAAGAGATGCCCGTTCATGTAAACAGCATGTCAGCAAGCTGTGGGCCCTGGACAGTTCAAGAGCGAGGTGTAACTCGCAGTCCTTTGCCCTGCTCTCCCACAGCCCGTCACTGGCATGGCAAACTCTGCCTCACCAAGCTTCCTGTGACTCACTTCCTGTCCCAGCCCTGCACCTGCACTCCTCTGGGTGATGTCATGGCAGGTTTTCCTCTTGGAGTCGTGCTCTCCACATCTGGTGCAATGTGCGTATGTACGCATGTGTGTTTATGTGTGTACATCCATCAGCATGCCTGGCTCAGACATCAGTCAGAGGACCTGTGGTGAATGTGGCCCTTCATAGCTTTCCTGATGACCTCCTCCATGAGGCAAAAGCTTTTGGAAGAGAACGGCACATCAAACAGGCAGGGGAGGAAGAGAACAGTCGGAACATGGATTCAGTCCCAAAGCTGGATTATTGTGATATTTTTCCCATTTGCTTTCTCTCGCTCTCTCTTTTTTTTTCTACGATACAAATATGTCATTTGGTTGCCTCCTTGCATCCTCCTTGTGTATTCACTACAGCCTTCTGTGAATACTTACTGAGCTCGAGTAGTTCTGTTTTCCAGTGAGGAGAAACAACCTCTAGATGTCCTCAATATCTGTAGGAATAATTACAGTAGGCTTTTCTACCATCGGTGACCAC